TATAAAGGCTCGTTGTGAAGTATAAGTTGCTACTTACAGGCATCGCTTCGAAGAATTTAACTTGGAATGCGTCCTTCATAACAGACACGTGTTCATCTGCTCTACCGCTAGCAAACAACCGTACTGATTAAATAACATAAAAGTCAAGCAGTTCCCTAAAAGTCCAACAGTTTACAGGACACACTTCCTGCTAAAGAGCCCCCTGGTGGTTGAAGAAAAATCCACATATAAACCGGAAAATGAAAAAAAATCTGAACGCTCTCTGGTATTGTTCAGGGGGCCGGACCAAATGTGGAGGCCCGCGGGCCGTAGTTTGGGGACCCCTGATCTACACATTCATCTGTGTATAATGTTTCGAAGCACAGCAGCGCAGGTTGGTACATTGGCATTCAGAAACATCTGACTGGCAGATGTTTGTGAATGCCAATAATTGACGTGCAAATAATTGATATTCATTTTAATTGTATTTTTTGATTTGGTGTTTTTAAGACTAGTTGTGGGTTTAGATAGCGTTTCACTTACAATGTTATGTTTTTCTTATATAATTACCCCATCATAATTTTACTTTTCCTGTCTACTTACCATCTTTTAATATGAAAACACGATGGACCGCCTCGGCGCCCTGACCACCGAGCTTAGCAAGTTTTTTGGGGGAAACCCTGCAGTTAGATTGTTTTACCACAGCTCTGATGCTCTGTGTTTAACCTTTGAGTTTGAGCTCTGTTTGCTCACAAATACAAATTAGTAAGTTGCAATTACCACTGATGGATTTTTAGGTTAGCCAATTAAACTACTCCCCCTCTTGAAAATTTCACTAAATCTAACACAGAAGCTGTTAGAGGTGCTGATGTTTTTAGCAACAAAAGGGGCCCTTAAGTCAAATTCTGCTCCAGGCCTCATACAGCCTTGGACCGGCCCTGCATGATGAGTTAAATCCGCTGCACTGGGCAGAGATGAGCAACAAATGGAAGGATTTAATTGGATTTAATTCAATGCTGCTAATGTGGCATTAGTAGCTCTTCCATTTTGTGTCTGTTGAGCATAAACAGAAGAAATCTGTAATGTGTGTGTCAGTGTATTGATAAATATATTTATTTAGATATAGGATTGTTAGTATTCATTTCATTATAGAAGTTAGTAAACCAAATCATATCATATTTATATATATTTAGTAATATACTGGGCGATATGTTTGTGTCCTTAAGACTATTATTGCTCATTGTTAGTTATTGTATATATATTTTTATTACTTTATTTTAAATTGGGTGGACAAATAAAATGTTCCCCTTCTTAGGGGATCAATAAAATCTTATCAGGCCGCCCTGGGTTAAAAGCCTCTACTTCTCTCGTAGTGACCTACCGCTGTCTGTTCTCTTAGTGGGAACGACGTGATGGCAGCAGGATCCTGATTGATCTGTCTCTGGTTCTGCAGGTCTTATTCCGGGTCTAGGATGGGGCGGTCCTCCAAAGACAAGAGGGACATATACTACCGTCTTGCTAAGGAAGAGGGCTGGAGGGCCAGGAGCGCTTTCAAGCTGCTGCAGCTGGACCACCAGTTCAACCTGTTTTCAGGTGAGACCTTCAGGTCACCAGAACCACAACAGGAGAGGATGAATACAGTACATATTATTTCAGTTTGTCATTAAACAACATGAAGTACTGTTTATTTGTGGAATGAAAGGAAAGGAATAGATGAGCCAATGTTTCTACAAAGATCTGGAAAGTCTGGGTGGCATTGAACCCATTTTTAATCCAATATCCCAAAATAAACTCTAGTTTGCCCTTCAGAAGCAACCTCATCACTAAACACAGTCCATCTGTGTGCATCTTAACCTCAGTCTCAGTGCAGCTAGCGTCAGAGGTTCTTCAAAGAATCTCTGGTGGTGGAATGTTGTTTGCATCACCATGAAGACGAACAACATCCCAGCATTCTGATTGATCCTTCATCTGGACATGGAGGCAGGATGGACAGGCTGGAGACCTACAAGGACATGGACATCCACCTGGACTGACAGGAGAGCATGGAGACTCTGGAGGAGCTGCAGAGATCCACAGCTCAGGAGGAAAATCCTTCTATTGAACAACTATTAGTTGTGAACTCTGAACGTCTAGTTGTTATGGAAGAAAGCCAGAACTCTGCTTTCATTTTGCTTCATATGTAGGAGATTCAGTAAAACATGTGAAGGCTCCTGGACTACGTCTTGTAAAAGAGACTAAAGGGCTGAGTTGGAGGTTCACCTTCCAGTTTCCAGCAGAACAGTGACCCAGACATCCAGCCGGAGCTGCAGTCGAATGCTTTAGATCAATGTGTATGTCTGTGTGTGTGTGTGTGTGTGTGTGTGTGTGTGTGTGTGTGTGTGTGTGTGTATTGGATGTTTAGCAGAAGGATGGGCAGAAAGGTCTGTGTGATGTTCAGCGCTTCTACACAGCTTCCAGACAACTGCCTGGACTCTCACAAATATTAGCTCATTATTACAGCATCAACCATTCAGCCTCTTCATGCCTGGAATGGATTTAGTAGCACTTGCGTAATGCAGCAGGAATTGACGCTGAGATAAAGAGAGGAAATTTGCTCGAGATGTGAAGAAACAAATGTTGCTTCTAGGCTCAAATGGCAGATTTTAAAAAAATCAAAGCTTCTTCTTGAGATGTAAATAATAAACGAATAAATAATAAATGACATTTTTTTTCCAGAAAGATGTAGGGCTGTAGTGATACAATAATCTCATGATACGATACATGATATTCTGCTCACGATACAATATGTATCACAATATTTGGCAAACAATATGATTCAATACGATTCAATACGCTTTTAAGATTTTCAGAAAGATTTTAGAGGGACAGAATGATTTTGGTGACATTTTGTGACTGTTCCATAGATATAGATTGAATTAACTTAATTGAAAACTGATTAAAAGCACCAACTACACAATACCTGGCTCTGATTAAACAGAGACTTGGAGTCTACAGCTGGACGAAATTAATGAAAGATGCGGTGAGAAAATGAGTTCCTGTTAATTAATTCATGTGGATTTGACATAAAATGCAAAGTTTCAACAGTGATCTGGGAGCTGAGTGGGGAGATTATCCGCCTCTGTAGATTCTCAATATGCAAATGATTGTACTTATGTTTTTCTTTTGGACATACTGTGGCTGCATTTTGGACCTTGAGTCACAGAAAAACAAAACCCAATTTGGAAACCTGTTAATTTTTCCACTGTGAAAGTCAAATATTCATAACGAATGGTTTTTATAATTTAGAATAACTATATACTTTAAATTTTTTAAACTGATGTAAAAATATTGCAAGCAACACAGTTTTATAACATCAGCATAAAAATGAAATTGCTCAATTTTTGACAAAACGTCAGGTCAAAACATGACAAAAAATATGGAATTGTGTGTTGGGGAGGGGGGAGTAAAAAAGGTCTTTTGAACTATGGGAAAAAGCTTTTTCTACCTTGACTCCCGGAGTTAGCCTTGGCTGTAAGCTGCTTACTACTAGCTGCTGGGGGAGTGGATCTGCCTCACCCCATAGTGATCGACTCCTTGCAGCTGCGCAGCGCCGCCATTCCCCTGCTTGTATCTCTGAGTAGCTGCCTCTCAGACTGCCAGGATCTCATCGTTCTCTCAGTCTCTGATACTCTTTGTCAGCTGCTAATAAGAATGATCGATCGCCATCGTCATCATGGAAATCCTCACTGTGCCCACACTTCAGCTGCAAATTTCCCCTCTTTGACTTCCTGCTCAAAACAGAGCGCCACTACCTGCTGCTCGTTCATTCTTCACATAATCCTTTATATACAGTACATAAACCACTAAGCTAAAAGCAAATTACTAAGTGGATGCCACCAGTCGCTCCAATATCCAAACTTTGCATTAATTTCATGATCTCACTGCATTTGCCGCTACACCGTTCCGCTTCTCATTCACGGTTACTTGAGCAACTTTACTTTGTTTCTTAGCAGCAAAATACAGCCCATCGTTATTTATTGAAGATTTGAGATTTCCAAAAACAAATCAATCTAATGTTGCGTTTCGTTTTTTATCTTTGTAAGCTCATTCCCTTTCACATTCCAAGAAAAGCTGGTTTTTGACCTTTCTCTGACATTCTGAAAATATGATTTACTTATTGTAGCATAACTCTGGTTTTACTTGGCCTAGTAACACAATTTACAAACAGGTGTGTAGTTTATAATGTGCACTTTAAGCACAAGTTGAAAGGAAGGCGGAGTCTTGCTGCTATGCTGCCCGCCACAAATTAGACATGTTCAAAAGACACTAATAAGACCCCTAAGGGCGTGTGTATCGATACTCGTGGATGAAAAATTGATGCTTTCCAAGGGAAAAAAAATATAAATAAATATTATAGAATCAATATAATTACACAACCCTAGAAAGATGACTGGAGTCTATTTGCTATGAACTAAATACAGAAAGATATTCATACTGTTGTTTTATCAACATTAATATGATTGATATCATTAGTGGATGATATACCATCATCCACTTAGTTGATTGTACATAATCATATATATGAGCCTGGTTTCTATGGAGATATAGAAGTTCTGCTCCTGTTCTGTGTGTCAGGTGTGAACCGAGCCGTGGATCTGTGTGCAGCACCAGGCAGCTGGAGTCAGGCTCTCAGCCGCAAACTCAGGTCTCCTTCCACTGTATTCTACATCTTTAGAAAACTGTCCAAGATTTGAAACCTGCAATAAACGCTTGAAGTTCATGTTGATCCTGCCTAGATTGTTCTGTTCTTTCCAATGCAGAGGCGGAGAGGAGGAGGTGAAGATTGTTGCAGTGGACCTGCAGGCCATGGCTCCTCTACCAGGAGTCACTCAGATTCAGGGAGACATCACTAAGGTGCTCAACAAATCCACAAAGAATCAACAGATTATTTCTCGGGGTGCACCAATTGTAGTTTTTGCTGATATGGTTTTTGTGATCTGAAATGTCATTAAATATAGCAAGAAAGTTACTGAGGTGAGGGGAGCATGCTGTTACTCACACTCATGTCTTCCTTCCCCCAGGTGTCCACAGCTCAAGAGATAATCCGTCACTTCGAGGGACAGCCTGCCAACCTGGTGGTGTGTGATGGAGCTCCAGACGGTCAGGTCCCCATTGACCCGCCTATCTTCTCTGCTTTCGTCTTCTAAATTTCCTTCCTGTTTTGTCTCCATAGTAACTGGACTCCATGATGTGGATGAGTATATCCAGGCTCAGCTCCTATTAGCTGTGAGTACAGAGGTGTTGTCCTTTGTGAGGTTTGGTGGTGTGACACTGACATCTGTGTGTTTTCCAGGCTCTGAACATCACCACTCACATCCTGACACCTGGAGGAACTTTTGTAGCCAAGGTTGGATCACTCCGTCTTCCTCTAAGACTTCCTAAATTCACACCTGTTTACTGTGAACAGGCGTGAACGAAACAGCTGCTTGTCTAATCAGTTTGAATTTTCAAGTCTAAATTCAGATACATAGGGTTTCCCCCAGAAAACTTGCTAAGCCTGGTGCACTCAGGCGACCCATTAGTTTTGTGTGGTTTTGTATTAAAACATGTTAAGTTGACAGGAAATGTAAAATATTAGTGGGTAATTATTATGTCACTGGAAACATTGCTGACAATTCCTAAACCCACAGCTATTGAATCTTATAAACTAATCAAAAATATACAATTACAACAAATATCCATTATTTGGACTTCTTTTAAATCCAAATTAAGTCAGCATTTAGTGGCCCTACAAACACAATGTAATGCTGATCACATACACAACCAGCCCATGGCATAAATGAACTAAGTAGCTGCTTAAGGCCCCCTACGTCTTCAGGGCCCCATAAATGCTAGATTATCAGTGCTGCTAAATTTAATGTAATGGTTCCAGCATACGTAAATTAAAATGGATTCACGGTCTGAACCATGAATCCAGATCACATCACACATAAAGCAGATAAATGCAACTAACTTTTTCTCCATAGTGACAAAAACCACTGACTGTGGCCCCAATAACTTATAATAAATGAAATTAAATGACTCCACTTATATTAGTAGCATTTCACCCGTTGAGGTCTGAATGCACAGCCTCACAAATTCCTCCTGGTTGCATCTGCAGAGAAATCTGAGCTAGTTCATCAGTAAGTTGGATCTGTCTGATCCAAACTGATCTATTGAGCTCTGCGAGTTTTTTACCCTGTGCGCGATCTGGGCGTGCATTTTTACGAGGATAATTTTTGCGTGGTTTCGCTTCTCCGAAACAGACAGATGTTACATCTTCCATGCTCCTGAGCGCTGCTCTCCTTCTGGGCGCAGAAGGGTAACATGCACCCAGAAAGTTCCATTTGTTAAGACCACAGGATGAGTTGAGTTTAATTCTTCACAGCGGTGGAGCTGCATCCGCATTGGTTGCGCAACGCACTGCGCGTGTTACGGTCTAATTAATTTCTGCACCGTTACGTATTTCCTCAAGATAAACTGCTGGCTCCTCTGTTTAGACTGGGGTTCAGAAACCCACGGCCCTAGAGCCACATGTGGCTCTTTAGTGCTGCCCTAGTGGCTCTCTGGAGCTTTTTCAAAAATGTTTGAAAATTGAAAAAGATGGGGTTGGGAAATATACTTTTTTGTTTTAATATAGTTTCTGTAGGAGGACAAACATGAGACAATCATTCTTAACATTTTCCAATGCTATAAAAATGTGTAGAATAAATATAAATTTCAACATTTCTGTCAACAAAGATTTGTGTCATAGCCTGTGACATGTTTCTTTCAGCTGGGTGGGGTGTGAGGCAGGTGGCTGTAAACAAACCGACAGGTGTGGGATGGACCATGGATAGCAAAGGGGAAAAGAGAAAAATAGCTGAACATCTACAATTCATGGACCGAATCATTTGCATTCATTGCCAATGCGGAAGGATTACCTGAATGTTTGCTGTGTAGAGAGAAGTTGTCAAATAACAAAAAGAGTACCGTACTTTCCGGAGCGCACCTTACTAAAAGTCGCACAGGTACAAATTTTTTGAAAAAAACTGGAAACGTACATATATGAGCCACACCGGTCTATAAGACGCATGGTTCAAAGTGTGGGGAAAAAGTAGTGGCTTATAGTCTGAAAAATACAGAAAGACATTTCCAGGGAAGGCGCTACATTAGCTGCCGCGTTACGATTAAAGTTATATCTTAGATGCCCGATGTTGAGAAGCTGTCCAGTGATGTCTGTAAACAGAAGTCACATTAAACACACAAGAACACAATCCTGCCATAGGATGTCTCCATAGTCACTGGAGACATACACAAGAGTCATTTTAGGAAATGTCCAAGTTAAGTCCTGATCACAGTGATCAGGGGCCTCATGCATAAAAGAGTGCTCAGTTTTCACATTAAAACTTGGCTACGGAAAAATTTTGAAAAGTGCAGCGCACAAAAAAAAAAATCGGAGGCATAAAAGCCATGTGCACCTTTCCTTTACAAATCCTAATTTGCGGGAAATAGAGCGCAGCTGCTGGTCCGCCCTGTTGTCACCCTTATATGTAAATTAGTATAAATACCCGTAAGTCTCCCACCACGTGAAGCAGTAACCATGGCAACATCCTTGTTTGTAGCAGTATAAGTATTTATAATAATAATAATTCTATATTTTACGTAAAATGTGCTTTCAGGGCACAAGGTCACTTCACAAAAACAAAAATAATACATTTTAAAGAAAAATAAATAAATAAACAAAGAGATTATACAAATAAGAAGAGTAGCATGTCCAGCTGGGATTTAAAGAATGACAGCGTGTCAGAGAGTCCTTTGAGTGGGAATGTAAACGTCTATACTAAATAGTAGAATCATGTGTATAAGTTGTACATTTACAGAATAGACTTGCTTTCTGTCCATAAGGGGCATTCAGAAAGCGGGCATGGCTCGACTGAAGGATGACTGCAGCTGTACCGGTACCGCACGGCTCCTTCTTTAAGTTTTGCTCGGAGCTCCAGGATGATCAGTCTGGATGAATATTTCAATATTTCCCAGCAGATCAATATGATCTCTGATCAGTCGTTCCCTCTGAATCCTTCTACTCTCGATGTTCTCCATCAGAGCCAAAGCGCTGTGCCACAATTATGTTGTTGCGTGTAATTGTGACACAGCACAAAGGTTTGCCCTTTGCACAGCTACTTATGTACGTGTGATTGTCTACACACCTTGATCATCTTAAAATAATCAAACTTGTTTGGAGTTAATCTGCTGATCCAACCATGATTTCTTTTTCAGTCAAAATGAAATGACCCCATAGATGAATTCATGCTCTTCAGCTCACAGACCAATGCGTTACATCTCAATGAGACAAAAACTGAGGAAAAGTACTATTTACATTAGAGTGAGGTTTTCAGGTCCTTTTATTTTTATTTTCTTTATTTTGTGTGCGTTTTATGTTATTGTCTGAGGATAAATGTGGTTCAGTTTCATTGTTTAGGTTTAAACAATAAAATATTAAAACCATGAAAAAAACATCAGTTTGATGCTTCTTGTCTAAATAACTGAATGTGGTCAGATTTCAGTGTATTTAGGTGAGTTTTGACGCTTTGTGGTTTGATATTATCCACAGAAAAAGTTTGCGTGGATTGGTTTGCAGAATCCAATTTTCTTCCTGTCGAGAGCTGTTATTATTTATTTATTTATAGGAGGAGCAGAGGGGATCTTTGTGGAAGAGCCTTAAAATGGACTTCTATTATGAACCAAACAAAAATCATTCAACAGTCCCATTTTAAACTAGCTTTTTTAGCATCTCCCATGAACAATTTAGCATGGCTAGTGCTACTAATCCAACCAGCAGTGTGTGTGTTTTCCCTAGAAAATGTAGAGCGAACCTTAAAGGCTGCCAGAGTTTCCAAACCCAACATGTTCCATGACTGATGGCATGAAAGCTCAAATGAATGTGACTCCACATTGGCTGACTGGAATTACATTTGTTGCTTGCTTGTTTCAATTGTTAATTATTTTCAAATCACTAATGTTGGTGTCAAATATAATTTTTTTATAAACATGTTAGAGGTTGTACTTGTGTGATGCAGTTTTGATTGGAGTTATTCAAACAATAAATAAAGCTGATAGGCTGAGAGTAAATAGTGATGTCTGTCCCTGTCTTGTTTTAGATCTTTAGAGGTAAAGATGTAACTCTACTGTACTCTCAGCTGAAGATCTTCTTCAGCAGTGTGACTTGTGCCAAGCCTCGCAGCAGTAGAAACTCGAGCATTGGTGAGCCATCACCGTTGGGACCAATCACAGAGCACCTGCAGCTGGAAACCTCTCCCACTTTTTTGTTGGGTGAATATTAAGGCTGCAGGCTGTTGAAATAAATAGATGATTTATTGTTTGTTTTTTTTCCTATTTTTTTTTTTCTCTTTTCCTCACTGATCCAAAGTGTGTTGTTGTTTGTGCAGAGTCCTTTGTGGTTTGTCAGAATTATTCTCCCCCAGAGGGTTATATCCCCAACATGTCCAACCCTCTGCTGGACCAATCATATGGTAACTATAAAGCCTTTGACACTGGTGTGCTACTGGGGGTCATTTGCTTGAACACATGAGAGTGAGTATGAGAAATAAAATCGGTCAGTTTGTCTAAAACTAAATGAATTATCTATTGCATCTGGTTGAAGCTCCTGGCATGACATCAGTGATCAGTGCAGGTTCCATATCTAGTACCTTGCAGATCGACTCTTACTCAGAAGTTCAAGAATACCATATTACTTGTATTTGTGTGTCTTCAGTCTGGTGTCTGCTCTCTGTCCTTCAGATGTGGACTTCAACCAGCTAGAAGGATCAAACCGTGTCATTGTTCCCTTCTTAGCATGTGGAGACCTCAGCGCCTTCGATTCGGACAGAACCTATCCCCTACAGGTGAGGAGTGACTTGATCAGATCTGGTGGATACATCTTTAACTACAACCACAAAAATCCTCCAGACTGGAGAAAAATGTACTGAAGTTCTTGGTTATACTTTTGTGTGTATTTAATGCAGACTATTTTCTCAGTAATAATGTCAATCTGAAAGATTATGGACATTCTGGTTATAGATATGAGTTGTTAAAGGACAGGCCTAATGGTCTGTTGGAGTCCAACACTTTTCCTGTGAACATCCTTGTAAACTAGGGGAGCACGATAATTATTGGCCTAATAAGAAGTTATTACATCTCCTTATCAGTCCGATATCATAATAGCACCGATAACATATTCAGTGGTTTTATTTATTTATCTTTTCAATCAAGGGCTCGGATTCCTGAGTGAGACCTGAGTCCAAGTGGCATTGGTCTAATTGGAGAAAACTGTAAATAAATTATTTTAAAATTTTCTTATGTCAGAAAACGACTGAGTTGTAATTTTAATAATAGTTAAAAATAATAATATATTAATTACCCCAGTGTGTTGCACACAAATAACAAAAATATAAACAGAACAACTCTGAACTGGGAATTTCCAACACCACGTGAATGAAGCACAGCTCATGAGTAAACAGAGAACATGGTAGTTGTAGTTTGGAATTTCTTTAAATTTTTAGAGGAAGAAATTCCTGTATAGACTTGTTCAATAGAGCTGGTCCTGATCAGCATAATGATCTAAAGAATGTCTTTCTTCTTTTTGATTCTTTTCTTTGTGCAGCTTGATGCTGGTAAAGAATACGAGTACATCCCCCCCACACAGCCACCTATCCGGCCTCCATATGAGCAGGCCTGCCATTTTCGCAAACACAACTTGCTGTCCAGAGAGGATGCTCCTCCCATCAGTCCCATCCACAGCCAAGAAGAACGGGAACCAGCCAAAACCTCATGACCCTTAAGTCGTGCTAGTGGAAAAAGGCCTTGGACATTCTGCAGATCATAATCTGTTAAGTCGTTCTGGTTCCCCAAGCAGTAGGATGTGTTTTAATGAGCTGACATCTGAAAAATAAAGGCTATGACATCTTACTGTAGTAGGACGTGTGTGTGGTAGAAGATTGGAGTTCCAACCTGATCACAATAGGAGGATGTGTCTCTGTCCCTGATACATTCACACTGCAGCCTGAAGTGACCCAATTCTGATTTTTTGGCATTTCCGATTTTTTGCCGAGCCGTTCACACTGCCAGTAAATGCGACCTGTATGCGTTCTGTAGTGTAAACGGGCAAACGACCCGAAAGTGTCCCGCATGCGCAGTAGAGGGCGCCATAGTGTCAACGTTCTCAGTGTTCTGCCAACCGCCATAGAAAGAAGAAGTGCTCAGTGTTTGCGGAAGTAAACATGGAGGCTAATGGTGGCGCTTAGCTTACATATTTGAAGTTGTTGTCCGGCCGGAGCAGTATATTAATAACTTAATCCTCATATAATCCGTCATGGTTGTTGTTTTTCTTCCCACTTGCGCGTATCAGGACACAGAATAGTGAGATTTGTTGAGCATCAGTGACGTTCAGTTCGGATGAAGGCGACCTGAACGTTAGGTCACATTTGAATCGGATACGTATCGGATATGGGTCACATTCGAAAAAGAATCCGACCTGTGCTGTTCACACTGCCATGAAAAGATCGGATACAGGTCACATTACGTCAAAAAAATCGGAATTGAGTCACTTCAGGCTGCAGTGTGAACGCACCCAAAGAAAGTTGTGCTCAGTGTTTTCTTT